CCATAAATAATAACAGACAAGAATTCTGAAATTGAATAGTATACTTTCATAGTGCGTTTATTTAATACTTACCACCCTGACGAATTGTAAACAAAATGGTTTGTTGATGAAGAAAAGAAGAAAAACGATACGTAGAGAAACTGCAACTAAAACAAATTGAGTTTTGTTTACAAACAAGAATAGATTCAAAACGTAGAGTCAACTGTCAAACGATCGTACTTGTATCTGATTGCAATGTCTAATTACAATATTAAAATAATAAGGATGAACGAAATTTTCAAGTATATAGTGAGTTTCACTCAACATTAGATTTCAAAATTGTTATGTTTGTTAAGAAGAAAAAATAAAACAAATATTCTTGAATTAGAAAAGATATTAGTAACTGGCAGCTGAATGTTTCTAAAACATTAAATTTCCATGAAGAAATATTAAAACAACACGGCAATGGCAGCAATTAATCTGAAGCCTCTCGGAAAAAATCAAAATTATGTCGTTAGATAATTGTTTTGCTCGGATAACGCTGGGGGGCTTTTTAAAGTTTTAATATTTCACATTTTGGGAGCACTTTGAAATAAAAACAAATCGATTTTTCGTGAAAATAATAACAATTTTGAAAAAACAAAATCTCCATGTATAGAAATAGTGGTCCAAATTTCAAAACGATCAGTGCACCAATTTTAAATATGTTAGTTGTGAGGAATATTTATTTCTAAATATAATATAATCTCTTTTTTCAGACATCATAAATTCAATTTACATTATTTGGAGGGAAATTTTAAACAAGCTTTTAACGTTGTTTACCAGACATATTATTAAACATAATATTCGCATCAAAATAAAAGACGATTTAAGAAAAAATTTCATTTTTGAGGCCTTCTTAGTTGGGGGCCCTAAACTATATATTTACCAAACACAAAAAAGAAAATTCACATATTTGAATATGCCAGGTTAAAAAATTATATATACATTCCAGTTTTTTTTTTTTGTTTATTCAAACATAAACATTTAGCAAACTATTTGTTTACTTTAATTGCAACTCTGCATACCGGCTTTTCTATCGGCTGCTTATACGGCATTTTCTAACGTCATCAAATTTTCTCTCAGCTGTGTGGGTGTATAAGTAACAGCTACTTTACTTTAGTTATTTTCATTTTTATGCTATTATGTTCAAAAAGTTTATTATTAAAGTTAACTATTAAAAAAAATCGATATACGGAAAGGAATTGTATATTTATATGAAACACATGCACTACTCTGGTAAAGATTAATTTTTCGCCGAAAACATGTACATAAGGAAGTGGAGTAAACTAGTAAGAGATAAATGTATGACAAAAATATATTTTTATTAAACGAGGCTTAATTTTAGTTATTCATATTGCTGGCGTTGCTAAGTAAAGAAAGTGGAGCGAAGACCAACTCGAAAAATGCTGTAGTAGAGGATATAGCAGATTTTAAAGATTTCAAAAAACTAATACGTACAAAAACCAATGTATTGGTGTTGTTTGTTGCGGGGGTGAAGGAAGCACCTGTTGAGTTGAAGGTATTTCGTGAAGCAGCAAATGTAGTACGTGGTACAGGTACTATGGTATTAATTGACTGTATGCAAAGTGAGCGCAAGAAACTTTGTAAAAAGTTAAAGGTTTCCCCCACCGCTTATATCTTTAAACACTATAAAGATGGTGATTTTCATAAAAATTATGATCGTCAAGTTAGTGTTGCGTCAATGGTAAATTTCATGAGAAACCCCACCGGTGATTTACCATGGGAAGAAGATCCTGATGGTGCAGACGTGCTACACTTTGATGACTACAAATCATTCCAACGTCACCTGCAGAAGGATACGCGCCCAATGTTGCTAATGTTCTATGTACCATGGTGCGGCTATTGTAAGCGGCTAAAACCCGATTATTCTAAAGCGGCAACAGAATTAAAAGGTAAAAACTATGTTATTGCTGCAATGGATGTCGAGCGTACAGAGAACGCACCTGCAAGACGTGCCTATAACATTACAGGTAAAAACTGTGTTTAATGGAAATACGATAAAACGAAATCGATTTATTGGGTTTTTTTTTAACATTAGGTTTTCCCACAATATTGTATTTTGAGCGTGGACAGTTAAAGAGCACGTATGAAGGTGACAATAATAAAGAGGGCATTATTTCATTTATGAAAGATCCAGATGCAGCTCCCGTTCAAAAGGAAAAAGAAGCTGATTGGTCAGCTGATCCGAATTCTGAAATTGTACATTTAACAAGTCAAGGTTTTGAACCTGCACTCAAGGATGAGAACTCCGTTTTGGTTATGTTCTATGCGCCCTGGTGTGGTCATTGTAAACGCATGAAGCCCGAATACGAAAAGGCAGCGTTAACTATGAAGGAACGAAAAATTCCTGGTATATTAGCCGCCTTAGATGCCACTAAAGAGAAAACAATTGCTGGCCAATTCAACGTACGCGGCTATCCAACGCTTAAATATTTTGTACATGGCGTTTTCAAATTTGATGTTAACGTGCGAGATGCAGCGAAAATAATTGAGTTTATGCAAGATCCGAAAGAGCCACCACCACCACCGCCACCGGAGAAGTCGTGGGAGGAAGAGGAGGGTAGTGAGGTGCTCTTTCTGAACGAAGAAAATTTCAACACATTATTGAAACGTAAAAAACACGCGCTTGTGATGTTCTATGCGCCTTGTAAGTAAAGCAAAAAATTTATTTTATTTTAATGCATTCCCAATAAAATTATTTGGCAGGGTGCGGTCATTGTAAGAAAACCAAGCCAGAATTTAGTGCAGCTGCTAAGGCATTAAAAGACGATCCACGCATAGTACTTGCCGCTGTGGATTGTACCAAACAGCAAACCCTTTGCAAATCTCATGGTGTTAATGGTTATCCGACTATTTTTTATTTTTCGTACCTAAAAACGAAAGCCGATTACAGCGGTGGACGCAGCAGCAAAGATTTTATTTCCTACATGACAAACCCAAACCTTTCGGCCAGTGAATCTGTGCATGTCAAGCATAAAGTAGATGAGCTGTGATTTCAGTATAACTATGTAATCTCAATTTATAAGTTGTTAAAATATATTTCAAATTAACTACTACCCAGCGAAAGTAATCTACAAATGAATCTAAAACTTATTTTATACTTACCTAACTATTAAGTTAAAATTTGCTACTTGTGAGCATTATCTATAAGTTATCCTTTATATACTCAAGTGTGATTGTTCTTACAGTGCTCTCGAATTTTGATAAATAAAATCTATCATGTTAAGTATTCAATTCGTATTAAAATAAAATGTTTCTTAGATTTCAAGTATTTTTATAAAATGCTGTCAATTTAAACGTCATTGCATAGGATAAAAAGCCATAGCCTTTGCGGTTACGTAGAATTGAATGTCTTAGGAACGGCAACTATTGTTATTTGCAACTATTACATTCCTTCTTTACTTTCCTTTTCAAAAAAATCGGTAATTAATATCAGCATTATTAAGCAACAGCTTTTTCTTTGAACACACTGAACAAAACATGAATATTTTTCGACAACTTAGTATTAAAGTGAAGGTGCTAGTGTTTGGACGTATTTCATTGATTGTTTCTGGCTCTATTGCAGTTGTGAACTAGCAAATACGATCAAAACAAGAAGACTGTAAAGAAAGCTGCAACATGTTACGTATATTTGATATTTTTAAAATTATGTTAAGTTCAAAACGAACTAGATAGACCTCAAGTATGTCCCTAAAACTGTTATTTTAGCAATTCCTATTTATTTTCGAAGATTTCTAACTGCACTTGGAACCATTCGCTATACCGCAATTACTTGCCACTAATTAATTTATTAAACTATATTAAATTAAAGTCACTCCACTTTTGTTTTCGCGCACAAATTTTCATTCGAACGATATTTTTCTATATTTTCACTTATATTTTTCATGTTAGAAAATCAACTCCTTATACTCTTGCGGTATATGTAATTATTTTATATTTCATATTCCAAATACAAGACAAATGAAACGTCTCAGCTGTTTGCAACAGTTTACCGTTTTCCACCAACGCGTGGCGCAGATTTTTGCGTCACTTTAGCAGCCTTCTGTTTTGGTGCTGCCTTAGCCTTGGTCTGGGCGGGCTGTGTAGTCTTCTTTGCAGCTTTAGCGGCACGCTTTTGTTCCTTAGCGACTTTGATAGCCTGATCGCGTTGAGCTTTACGCACTTCAGGTTTCATGTTACGCTTAGCCAAAATTTCGGCAAGCGATGCACCGACAATGGCACGCTGGAACTTTTGAGTACGGCGAGTACGTTTCTTCGTGGTCTCTTCCTCGATACCCTTACGGTGCTTGCGACGGTACAAAACAGTCCAGGTGACCTTACGTGGATTGCGCTTCATCAGGTAGGAGCGTTCACACTTCTTGTCGAGAAATGTGAAGGTCTACAAAATGTAAAATAATCAGTTAGCACTCTATTTTAAACAATAATAAAATTATTACATACCTTGCCATCAATCTTGACCATGGTCTTGCCATGACCGGGGTAGATTTTGTACCCACTGAATGAACACAATCCGATTCTGCAAAAACGAATAAAACACTATTAGTTGGCCACAAATTTCATTATGCACAATTATTTTTTGTTACAAATATAACGAAAATGCATCGTGATTTCACTTTTCGTATGTGATGTTAGCAAAATAAAGAAATTAAAAATTACAATTGGCGAATAAACGTACTTCATCTTGCTATTGTTGTCAGTAGAAAGAAACGGAAATGGACGAGATATTGACAGCTGTCACTGAATTGTCAAAGTTTGACAGCGAGAGCTAATTGCTTAGTGCAACCCCTAGCGGCTGATAGCTGAATAATGTTGGATGGGGGATATGTTTCAACGGGTGTTCTATATGAAGAATTATTAATATAAATTTATAAAGGATTTATAAGGGTCTGGTATCGTTGGGGAAATAAATTTGAAGAGTTTGTTAACTATTAATTGATTTTGTACCCAACAGTAAAACCATTACTGATCGTATGTATGAACATCTGCATAAAAATATATTATTGTTTATTATTTATTATAAAATATTGCCAGAAATGTCCTTTAAAGAAGCGCATGCGCGTGCAGAGCAGTGTTTTTGTATTAGGGATCCAATAACAAATACATTGCAAAAAAATATATTTTTTGCACTTTGACGTCATAGTATTGAGTTGAAAATCAACAAAGCAACAATATAAACTTGTTTTATTTAAAGTTAATTTTTTAAAGTTTATAATATGAAGTTAACTTTACGACGTTACTCCTTATTATTATGTCTGCAATTTACATTTTTGTTAGCGGATTTGTTTTTCAACACCTTTGCGCATATTTTTCTGAGTGAAAAACTTCAATATTCTATTGTATTATATGTGTAAGTAGTATTTTGCAATTTTACTAAATTTTGATAACAGTAATAGATTGAATTTAAATTTTTCTTAGCATTCAAGACGTTTTCATTATTTGTGAATATGTGTTCTTCACTTTTGCTGTGCATTCAACTTGCGTTTATGAGGTGAGCAAAACTAACAAAATGTTTAAATAAAAATGTTTCTATATTATAATTTTTACTATAAACATAATACATCTCAACAATTTATTTACCTCCAGGTCGGCGGTGCCTCTGTAATTTTCCGAAACTGTAAGTTCTTCCTAATCACTATTCTGACATATTTCCTACTTTCGGCTACGCAACATTTATGGATTGTTTACAATGTGATGTGGGTGCCAACTGCGGATTGGTCCAACACTTTAACAGCATTGGCATTTGTACAGCGCCTAGGTATACATACATATATTATAATTAATTTTAATTTAATTTTTTTTGAATTATATCCAATTGTATTTTTTACTTTCAGTATCCTTTGTTTATTACTATACCTGTAAGCATACGGCTTTAGTTGTATCCGATCCGCGTTATTATGAGGAAAATATTGATTGGATTGCCGAACAATTGAGTGATAAGTAATTCGCATCTAGGAGAGAATGTTAAATAGCTTCATGTTGAATGTTGAGTAGTTAAACAAGATATAATTCATTAATTTACGTTTAAATAAAGTAATCGCTCAAAATAAAGTTATCTTATTCAAAATGTACAAAAATGTTTGCACTTTAAAAAAAAAAAGATTGATTGAGAGTTTGGCACAATGATATAAGTGGTAAGAATTTCATTTTCCGCTCACGGATTTGTGTCGCGGCCTCCTTCGTTGTTGGCCCTAAACTATACATTTACCGAAAACATAATTGAAACTGCGATGTAAATTAAAAAAAAAAATATATTAAAAATTTTTTATTGAAAAAATATTTTTTACATATAATTTTTTGCAGTACGATATTTTTCAATAAATTTTGGTTTTATTTACTATAGTATATAGTACACCTTTCCAAACATTTACCAATTTATAAACGAAAAATGCAACACTTATCAATCCGTAACAACTGTTTTATTATCTGTCAGAAAAAAACGGAGAATTTTGTTGTGCTACCACCGGTTGTTAAACAAAAAAAAAAGCTTTCTTTAGTTTGCATTGATATTTTTTACTTTATTAAATTTTTATTTATTTACCAGCATTATGGCTGATTCCTTGCATAAAAATTTTGAAACACTCCGTAGCATATTCGAAGAAGTGCTGAAAATGAAAAACAGTACTGGCGAACGTGATCGTGCAGATGAATTGACCGAGAAGCGCAAGTACGCGTCACTGCTCTTCGTGCTGATTAAAAAAGTAAATCGTATGGTTAAATACAATTTACGTTCCGGACGTGAAGATTTACATCGTGAGAAGGTACGTGTGGACAGCAATCGCCTGCACTTGCAGAACTTACTGTACGAGGTTAACCATTTAAAGCGTGAGATACGCTACTGTCACAAGTTTAAAAGTCAGGATGAAGATATTGAATTGGTGCCAGAAGACGATCAACTGCAAACGGAGGGTAATAAGTCCTTAATGCCCATAGACATGACGCCGTTGTCAGGACATGCCAAACATTTGGCACGTCTCGAGCGCGAATTAAATTTACGCAAACATTTGTCGGCACAATGCAAAGAGCTGCTCAATACTAAACAACAGGTGTTTAGAGATATTATTTTGAAAACGGAAAAATTGACTTCGTTTGCACCGTCATTGCGCACTCTATTGAAAGCAACACGTCCACTGCAAGATGCACTACAAGTACCCATGGACCGTGATTGGAAATTGCAACAGTTGGTGCAGTTGCTACCACAACCACTTTATCTAGTTTATATGAATTTACATGCACTGGAGTTAGCAAAAGAATGCGATGTTTGTGTTACTGTAGTGGGTAGTGAGGATGATGTACGTCAATTGGAAATGGCAGCACAGACGGAGACTATTAAGAGTGGCGCCAGTTCGGACACGGATGAGATAGACGTAGGTAGCGTTACAAAGAAGCGTAAAACACATGGCGGAAATAGTGATTTACTTGTAGACCTAATGCAAGAACAACGCAAGCGGGTTTTACAACCACACCCGCTTGAGGTGCGGTTTACGATTGGGAATGGTACGAAAAACACGGAAGAATCTATAGCAATTAAATTGCGTTATTTTAAGCGTTTGGGCTTTGTCACTGCTGCAACGGTGGTAGGTTTGGGTGAAACAGAACAAAATTTCGCCGATGCAACACTCACACAGGATGTGCTTAAATATTTGCATGATGAGGATGTCGGCGATACTATACCAGTGCCAGGGGCAGAATATGAGTTGAAAAATATTAATATGACAACGAAAGAATGTTTAGATTATTTAAAAGCTAAAGAGTATGGACGTTCATACCGCTGGCTGCAGTCCATGTGTTGTATTGAAGTTTTTCATGAAGTTGGTGGCGATACAAATGCTACTAACACACCACCAACAGAACAGCCGAAATTGCAAAAGCTAATACCCGATTTAATAAAATCTATACAACAATTATGGAATTCACGCTTGAACTTAATTAAACAGATACGTGCTTTAGTACAAAAGCATATTGATATGTATCTTAAAGATGAACGCTTGCCTACCACACGTCCCGCTTGCAGTCTCGTACAGTGGACAGCGCTCACTTATGAGGAATATGTGGCATCATCGCCACATGTGGATAAAGACCTGGTTAATGGCAATCAGCTATTCTATCGCGCCGTAGTCGTACGCGGTTCTGCTAAAATGGAATGTCTCGTAAGCATAAGTAGCAAATTTCCAACCGAAAGTCCTCATTGGTTTATCTGCATATATTGGAATGGTCAACATAATGCTATGAACAGTGCCGCTGTAAAATCGATGGAGTTTTGGACAAATTCGTTGACACAGTCGCAATTGCAACATCCATTGGCTTTGTTAGCGACTCAACTTGTACGGACTATGTACAGTTTTGACATATTTTTGGAGACGGAGGGACCACTGTACAATCCAGTTGAGTATCATCGCGAGAAGCACTACATAAAGGCATTCGCAAAACGTATACGTGCAAGACCATATCGCTATATCGAAGGAGGCACCGTTAATACATTTAAACAATAGTATATAAGATTTGTTGTTCAACAGTTTATATGCTTGTGACTAGGGTTGTAATAAAAATAAAATAAATATAAAAATGTTTATATAATCATTTGTCAGAATCGCTATACGGAAAACTTTTTATTTGACAAATTACTTAACGATATTTGTTGATGTTGTTGTTGTTGTCGTAACGATTACCTAGTCCCCGTTTGGGTGATAAATTCTAGATTCGTTGTCGTCGAGGTCATCTAACGGGAGGCCCAGGAAACGAGCTGTTTCGACGGGGCCGGACCATAGGGAGAAGGGTGTTAGATGAGTGGGGTTTGTTGGGCATGCAAAGAGGTGGTAAGTGTCATGCGATTTGAGGATTTTGTTGAGGACCTTGATGAGATAGTTTACTCCCGTCGAGCCTAGATGTTTTAGCATCAGCATGCTTATTCCGTCAGGGCCAATGGATTTAGACGATTTGGCCTTTGTGATGGCAATCTGAACCTCCCCATCGGTGAAAGTAAGTGGCGCGCGGTCTTTTGGCATTTTGCGCAGACGTCGGGTAACACATCGTTTGGCCTTGTCAGTTGAAGAGTGCAGTGTAAACTGCCGGCTAAAATAGCTCGCGTACTTCTTCGGGTCCGAGGAGGCATGGCCATCGAATTGACAGTAGTCCAAAGCTTACTTACACCGGTGGAGAGGTTGCAGGACTTCAGGTGCTCTATCCATTTCGTCCGCTTATGATGGTTTACCATTTGCCGAATCTCCAAATTGAGATCCCTTATTCGGGGATCACAGGGATCGGCATGGCGTAAGGTGTCGCGCTCATTTGCTAGTACAGCTGCTTCGGCTGGGAATTTAGGGCAGAGTTCCGCGATTCTTCCAGCGGGTATGAAGCGAGCAGTAGCAGCGGCGATCACCTTGCGGAATTGACGCTCGCCAACGATGACGTCCGTAGGAATGGGTAGTGCGTTGAAGGTGCTCTCGGTAAATTCTGTGAAGCCGACCCAGTTAGCTTTGTTAAAGTTAACAAAAGTGCGGTTGTCCACAGAAATAAAGTCAGGAGGTTTCTCGATCGAGATAATTATGGGCAGATGGTCTGATGCGAGAGTTAGCATAGGTCGCCAGGTTATACTATTTATCAGACCACCTCTAGCGATGGTAATATATGGCGAGCTATTACAGGTGCCCATAATTCTGGTGGGGGCTTCGTCATTCATTGTGCAGAATGTCGAATCGTCAATCTGTTCCGCCAGCTCCATCCCCCTACGATCGTTTGACAGGCAGGAATGCCAAAGATCGTGATGCGCGTTAAAGTCGCCTAGCACCAAACGGTTTTCACCACGAAGTAGCGCATCTATGTTCGGGTGATATCCTGTTGGGCAACATGTAACTGGGGGGATGTATATATTAAATATTTCGAGCTCGACATCGCCTGACCAGACAGCTATACCCTGACATTCAAGGGTAGTGTCCCTGCGGTCGATATCAACATCGATTAGACGATATTGCACGGTGTTGTGCAATATGAAGGCTAAGCCTCCACCATTATCTCGCTCGCGATCCTTACGTAAAACGTTGAAACCTGCACAACTCAGAAGATCTGAGCGGCTCTTTAACTTGGTTTCTTGGACCGCAGCTATCGTTACGCGCTCCCGGCTCATGAATGCAACTATCTCCTCTATCTTGCTCTGAAGTCCGTTGCAGTTGAATTGTAGGAGTCGCGTTTGACGATAGAAAGTGACACCAGTCAGTGCAAGAATTGCACTTGACTGATGTGACATTCCGGCGTATTACGGTCTTACACACGGAACAGACTGTGCGAGGAACCAGGAGTCGCTGGGTGGTTCTCGCACGAGAATTGGAGCTGGATGAAGGTTGGAGGGGGAGGTTGGTCAGACTGGGAGTTATGTTGTCTGTGTGAGCTCCTTAGGGCCGTGGAGGTCCTTTCTTGGCTACTCGACTGGAGTGGCGGCGCAGTGCGCGAACATGGTGCAGGTTGCACAGCCGTTCAGGCAGATGTCGTAGTATTGCGTTGACAGCATGGGCCCACGTAACTCGTGGTCCACTCCCTATGTGTCTTAAGGCCTGAACAGGTCTTAAGATGGCTCCATCCATTGCATGTATTGCACCTAACCGAGGTGGAGTTTGGATGGAGCCTTTTAGCGCAAACGCAGCAGTAGAATTCCTCGGGGCCCGGGTTGGACTCGATGCCAGCACGGGTCAGGAGGATACGCAGCAACCCTGCTGCTAGGCGTTGCTCCAATGACGACAAACTTAACCTAGAACTTACCCATCCAAACAGGGTTAGATCGTCGAAATAACAGCCCTTGGCCGGATAAAATCCGGGTCAATTCCGGTATCGCAGAACCGGCTGTTATGGGAATTGTAACGATATTTGTCACAGATTATTATCCGAGGCAACACTACAATATCCGAATATATTATTCAGATTGGTACACTATAATGTTTAGCTGCCATACGAACGTCAAAAACAGTTGATTTTTTTTAAAAATAAATTTTAATTTGCAGTAAATGGAATTGAACAAAAGTCAAACAATGATAAAATAAACACTAATTTTTATAAACCACAAGACACGCCCATTGAACATATTATATATATATGCGTGTCGTAGATAGATAAATGGTTAATATATGTATGTATATATGTACGCACGAAGGACTAATGCTATTTAATTAAATATTTGTATATAAAATTATTTGCATTGTATACATTATAAACGTCTATGAATTTGTTAATAATAATTTTATCATTTCTTTTGTTTTTATATTTTCCTACTTTTACATATGGCTACAACTACATCAATTGGATTTAGTTGTTTAACACCCTTGTCAATAATTTAGCTTACGCTGCACCATACATTCAATAATCCTGAATTAGTAAAAAAAAAAACAATTATTTTACTATACATTAACATACATAGATTTGCTTAAAATTGCATTAGAAAGCCACTGCTTTTTACGTCGTATTTAAGAGTGAAACGCCAAACAGTTTCTCCCATGATTGCGCAATGGCATTTAAGCAACTGTCGGCATTCTCTTGCGTCTCAAAAGTGCACTGCCATATTTCACTCAGATCCTGAGTTTCGTCTAGGTAATTTATTAAAAAGGTATTAGCATCAATTTGCTCCACTTCAACAAGATTTGACATTAATTGTTTCATACAAATCTCCAGTTCGGCGTCTGACTCTGAGGTAGAAAGCCAATCAAATTTACTGGAGCTGATGTACAGATGCGTGTCTGTAGTTAAGAGAGTACATGTGCTCAAGTTGCGCTTTGCTTGGCCACAAGTCACAGTGCAGGCATTAAGTAATGCGCACATTTTCAGTTGTTCATCACTGACAGCGTTGTTGATGCGTTTCACTAGCACGGCGATTGGTTGATATTTCAGTTCACACAGTGACGGCAGCGAGTTATCTGAACAAAATATACAAAAGATAATGTTTACAATATATTCTTTTATACCCGAACAGAGTATATTGAGTTTAGCACGAAGTTTGTAACACCCTTAAGGAAATGTCGAAGGTCACATAAAATTTCTGTATATACGCGAAGTCGCTCAGTTTTTGAGATATCGTTCTGAAGTTTTGCACATATCGTTTTCTCCCCAAAAAGCTGCTCATTATAGCTGTCATACAAAATCATGTTCTTGTACGGAAAACTTCTTTATTTGACAAGATATCTTTACGAAATTTGCTCGAATTATTGTTTACAGCAACTGTACGATCTGTATAAATTGTTCAGATCGGGCAATATAGCATATAGCTGACATACAAACTGATCGAATAATATTCAATCCTGCATGGCAAACTTATTCAATTGACCTTCACGAAATGTGGCATGAATTATTGTTCAATGCAACGGTAAAATCTTCGAGGACATTGTTCAGATTGGACCATTATAGCAGATAGCTGTCATGCAAACTGACCGATCAATATCAAGTTCTTGTAAGGAAAATTTAAACTTGTAAGCGGTGCACGCGAAGCTAACTTTTTTTTACTTTTTTTTTAATTTTACTTACTCGCAAAGTATAGCAATAAACTATCAGTGCGCAGAATATCCTGCAGCAAAAGTTGGAAATTTCCCCAGTCGCGTAATGTAAAAGCCAAGCCAAGTTTCCAGGGCAACAACTGTATGCATTCCAACCGATCTGCTGTGACGCTCACCAGTAGGCGCAACCACTTGGCAACATCTTCATTTTCGGGTCCAAATGTTTCCATTAGATAGCACTTGCAGGTGGACATCACCACTATGCCTGCGCATAGTGTTTTTGTATTGTCATTATATATGCGTCCACGCGCCAGCCATTTGAATTGTTCATTCTCATCGAATTTCGTCTGATAGAAGTATAGTTTAAGGCGATGATCCACGTCGTTGAAGTCTGTATAATTAAATTTGTAGGGTTCGCACTTTTGATCGGTTTGCGAATTTGTTTTTCTGGAGCTGGACATAAGACTGTTGGTTGTTTGTACAAGAGCTGTGAAAGAAATAAAAAATATTAACTTTTTTATCTATCTAAATGGTTTCTGTGAACTGAATGCGCTCTGAAAGCTCTGGAAATGCAATTATTTTTCAAATGAATCGCTATTTTAAGAAGTTTTTAGGAAGTTTAAGTTAACCTCAAAATAGAAGGTTTAGCATTTTTGTTTAGTATATGTCATAACTTCACACTTTGTACAATCACAAAACATCCATAGTCGACCTTCAAAGGTATGCACATACAAACATTAACCAAAAAATTATAGAATATTTGCAAATTTTTATTTTCTCCGTCCTGCGGGCAGCTGAGTCGATTTAGCTATGCCCGTCTGTATGTCTGTATACACGGGAACTAGTCCTATAGTTTTTCAGATATGGATCTGAAATTTTACACAGGTCCTTTTTCTCCCATAGAAGCTGCCAATTTGTCGGAACTACCGAAATCGAATCATTATATATATTATTCAGATCGGACCTCTATGTCAAATATAGACCGATCAAAATCAAGATAAAGAACTTTTTACACCTTTCATGTTGAAAAAATTGCATCTGTGCAGGGCATTCTAGTTTCGGTTCACTTTCATAAACCTCTATAACGTTCATAAACCTCTGTAAAATTGAAATATCTCGTCTTTAT